AGCAAATATTTTAATATATATCATGTGCAGATCACAAGTTTATTGTGAATGTGTTCATGCATTTCTGTTTAACATGTGTACATATAATCACTTGAGTATATGCATGTATATCTCTTATTTTGCTTGATGGTAATAAATCATACATATCTAACATTTAATATAAATAACTAGTATTACTAGTTTAAATAGCCACACTCAAATTTTGTCGGTTTTCTCTTGTTCGTTTATTAGCGCTCTCTTATCTGTAATCAAATTTCAGGGATAACAGGTTTTCTTAATATTGTATGTCATTTAATTGCATTCATTATATACATCTTGCAAGTCTCACATTAAAAGACAAAGGTTTAGGTCTTACACTACAACATCTGTAGTTCTTTTGTCTCCAGTAATCTTCATGGACGTGAATGTTCTGTGCCCTACTTAGACACTAACCACGTGTTTCCATCCTACCTGGCTTCCTTTACTAAAGCATTGTTTCTCCCCATACACAATATATCTGAACAATTCATCGGTTGAAACTGACCCTTTTTCTGCCTTTTTGTCAGAGGACTTGAGCTAGACAGCATTATCGGCCAAAGGGTTATAGATTCACCCACATTACTGTGCTTAGGCTTGGGAAGAGGGAACCCCAGGCCAGGGAGACTGGTCACATAGAAAGGGAAGAAGTGATAGTGAAGTGTATCTTGGTTCTTCATATATGTTAATTTTTGATCAGAAAGTTAAGCTTCATAGGAAATCATTTACTGGAGTTTTAGAGATTATCTTTACCATCCCTTTGGGTTGCCCAGGACCAAAGAGGATAAATGACTTACTCAAAGTCACACAGCCAAATTAATGGTACAGCCAGAGCTCATTTGAAGAATTCCTAACTCCGCATCTAGTATTTTTGCATTCAAAAATCTGCTGTAACTGATACGTCCACTTTAGAAAATAGTTTAGCAATTTCCATATGATCCAGTATCCACTTCTAGAAATCTGTCCCAAGAAAAATGAAAACATATATCCACCAAAGGATGGTACCCAAATGTCCATAGCAACATTGCTCATAGCAGACAAAAACTGGACACAGCCCCAAATATCCCATCAGCTGATGAACTAAATGTGGCATATCCATCCAGTGGAGTATTATTTGGCACTACAAAGGAATGAAACACTGATAAATGTTAACACCATTAATGAACCTCAGCAACTATATGCTTGGTGAAAAATCAGACCGAAAGATTAGATAGGATTCAATTATATTAAATCACCAGAAAAGGAAATTTTGTAGAAAGAGAAAGCAGGGGTGCTGGAAGTGGGATTGACTACAAATGGGCTCAAGGAACTTTTGGTGGGGGTGATGGAAATAGTTCTAGAATGGATTGTGGCCATGGTTAGACAACTGTAGAAATGTACTCTACTGAACTGTACTCTTAAAATTAGTGAATTTTATAGCATATAAATTATACTGCAGTAAAGCCAAAAAAGGGGGAACATTAAAAAAATTTCACTCTGAAATGCGTAATTTGCTCTGAAGATTACATTTTATGTGCCTTTGTTCTGTAATTTTACAGGTAGTGCCCTTTTGCCAAAAACAAATCTTACCTAATTCTTTCGACATCTTTCTTAATTAACATTTGGTTTCTTAAGAAAGAGGTTAAACTTGCTAAAGTCATATATACGTCATATATGATAGGTATCTGACCCCCACACACCCTACAAGTCCCATAGGCATGTAGTAGAGTTGGAACTTGCAGTGTTGCCAGAATTACCAATATTTTCTATTCTGTGAAAACAGCCTGATGCAGAATTCTCTCCCTGCTGTTTCACTACTTTCAGTATCTCTTCTGTATTTTGCTCTTACCAGTTGCGCTTTGTGTTTACTGAGTCACTTGTATTTATTTTCAAGCCTGTTTATGCCAGTTGTACTTGTTATTAATACATAACTTAATATCCTGTAAATCAATAAAATGGTGTTAAAAACGATAGAATTTGTTCTTTGGTAAACAAGATTGAATGTTTTAGAAAGACTTGACAAAGGCAAATCACTAAACATTGATTCAAATTAGGTGTAGGTAATTTAAAAGAATGGAGCAGGGATTGTAAAAATCTAGAAGGACTTTTTTACATTCAGTTTGCTCCACAAATGTCTCTAGTCTTCATGCTCCATCTTAATGAAACAAAGTAGACAGGTTTCTTTATTAGGTGGGAGTGTATGTAAGAAAGAGAACACTGAACTCCGGTCACAGGATTCATGTTCAAAGACAAAAGTCTTGATATCTCAACGAACATGTATTAATGTTCTAAATTAAAATTAAGATGCAAATATGTGTGTGTACATTTGTTTCTCTCTTTTACCGCCTATGTTCAATTAAGCAGCCAGTTACTGGTTTTGATCACTTAGGGTGAGAGTGATACTGTATATGGTACTGTTCAAAACTGTAAACATCAAATTTATGAATAATTTATGCAACACAGTAATTATTTTTATAATAAAAAAGATTATTGGTGCTTTTTACATTTTTAGATTTATGCCAGCTTTTATTGAATGCATCTTGTTTCATGCTGAAAAGTAAGGCAGAGGCTCCTCAGTTGGTTGAGCATCTACTCTTGGTTTCGGCTCAGGTAGTGATCTCAGGGTCATGAGATCAAGCTCTGTTGGGCCGCATGCTCAGTGGGGAGTCTGCTTAAGATTCTCTCTCTCTCCTCTGCATCTTCTGTCTGTCGTGTCCCTGCCCCCAGTCAGGAGAGACACAGAATTTAGATCTTGAGGTGAACGTGTGAAGCTTAAGAATTTACTGGAGAGAGAACACCAAATGGGGGATGACCCCAGTGCTGCTGGAGGGGCCAGGGTTGGGTCCTGGAATGGGAGGCCGCAACAGCTTCCTCACTGGCTTTGGCAGCCTGTGCTCGGGCCTGGGGCTGAGTCCAAGGCCGTGGAGCTTTCAGAGGCAAGGCCCAGACAAGGAGTGGATCCCCATCACCAAGCTGGGCTACCAAATCAATGCCATGGAGATCAAGTCCCTAGACGAAATCTGTCTTCTCCCTGCCCATCAAGGAATAGGAGATTATTGACTTTTTTCCTGGGGGCATCATGCCCTCCGGGATGAGGTTCTGAAGGTAATGCCTGTGCAAAAGCAGCCCTGTGCTGGCCAGCGGACCAGGTTCAAGGCATTTGCTGCCATCGGACATTACAATGGATACGTTGGTCTGGGTATTAAGTGCTACAAGGAGATAGCCACTGTTCTCCAGGGTCCATCACCCTGGCCCAAGCTTTCCAGCGTCCCCCTGTGGCAAGGCTGCTGGCGGAACAAGATCAACAAGCCCCACGCTGTCCCATGCAAGCTGACCGGCCATTGTGGCTCTGTGCTGGGGCGCCTCATCCCTGCCCCCGGAGGCACTGGCATTGTCTCAGCCCCTGTGCTCAAGAAGCTACTAATGGTGGCTGGTATTGCCAACTGCTCCCCCTCATCCAAGGGCTGCACTGCCACCCAGCTTCGCCTAGGCCACTTTTGATGCCATTTCCCAGACCTACAGCTCTCACCCCTGACCTCTGGAAAGACTGTGTTCACCAAGTCTCCCTATCAGGAACTCACCGATACCTTATAAAGACCCACACCAGAGTCTCCGTGCAGAGGACCCAGGCTCCAGATGTGGCCACCACATAGTTTTATACAAAGGAAAAAAAGTGAAAGCCTATTTAAAAAAAAAAAAAATGTACCAGCGAGTCATCTGTGAAAATTTTGAACCTACTGAAGATGCACAATTTTAAAAATGTGAGCTTGTGCCAAGATGATATAGAATGTAGAAACGTGAGCAGCGAAGATACTAATCAAAGAGCGGCTTTCCTTATAGCCATCAGGGGTGTGCCCTAGAGGAGCTGAATGGAGGAAGGTTGCAGGAGTGACGTCACATGAAGAGAATGCTACTTGTTGAGAATTTAGTCAGCAGTTGTTGGTCGGTGCCATTACAGTTGCATCACTGATAGGGCTGAGCTTCTGTTTATGTTCACCTGGTGGCTTTGCTTGGTGTTGCCTGTAATGACAGTGTTCCTTACGAAAGTTCCAGGATCACAGTGTGCAGTGGTTCTTAACTGGTTTTGGATCATAAATGCCTTTAAGAATCTAGTGAAAGCTATGGGCTCTGTTTCCACAGTACTTATCTACCAGCAAACACACAATAATTTTATAATTTTTGGAAGTTCAGAGACCCATCGAGGCCCAGAGAGATCCTGGTTAAGAACAGAAAGGAATTCTATTGCTAATCCTTTTGTGAATTAAAAACTTAGTAGTTTTATTCCATTGTATTTTGGTGTAAATGTGGATTTTCCAAATGCACAAAATAGGACTTGTATAGCCAGTAATTCTGGAATTTATGTGCTCTATTAAAGTGAGACACACCTGTAATCAAGATGGCAAGAACTTGAAAATAAGATGACTACAAGTAATCTGTTTGAAATGACGATAACTAGAGGTGTTTTAATTATGTAATACTTAATGCTGCTGTATTATAGGCATTAGAGCCTTTTAATATTTACCAGTAAGCAATCAGCTTAAGTTACGTGGATCTGTATTTCATTCGGCTCTTAATTTTACTTCAAAGAATATGATCTTTACAGTATTTAAGAAAGTAAGAACCATGTTCAGGCATGGTATGGCTCTGGAAAGAAAGAAAGATGTGTCTACCTTGCTCTCTACCTTTCTCCTCTGCTTTCTGCTCACCTTTTTTTTCCTGGGCATGATGCTTGCTTCCCTTCCCCCCCCTTTTTTTTCCTTCAGGTTAAACGGGTGACCACCTATAGCCAATTGTTTGTAAATTGTACAGTCTCTAAAGACTAACTTTTATATAATTTGGGAGGTGCTAGAAAATTCCATGGTGCTTAAAATAGTTTGAAGTGTTTCTCACCTGAAAAATTAGCTGCTTCTAGAATTTTTATTTCCTGTATTATTGTAGCTCATAATGGTTATTTTTATGTTTGCAGGAGTTGTGCTCATGTTTATGTGATTTTGTTTTCATTGCAGGACCGTGTATATGTACAACAAAATAATGTGGAGAATGTCTACAATTTGGGATTAATTATTTTTCGAGATCAAGTTGTACGTTATGGGTGTATTAGGGATCATCTACGACAAACACTATTGGACATGATTGCGAGAGAGCGGAAAGGAGAAGTTGTAGATCGGTATAATCATCTTTTTATATTTCAGTGTTTGGTTTTTTTGGTTATATCTTGAGAACCGATTTACTGTCCTAAGTCTTACTACAATAAATAAAAGTTTTATTTTCCAGAACATTATGAAAATCCTCAAAAACCTTTTCACAATTAACAAAGTTACCAGATTCTAACTTAAAAGCACACATCTCGTGTTAGAAGAGACCCTCCTGAGCTTTTATTTAATACGCTTTTAAAAAATAAATCAGCCATTAGTCTTCCCTTGGTTTTTCATGTATTTTTTATGCTGGCATTTTGTTCTTTTTGGCTGTGTGATAACATTTTTTGTTCTCTTTGTCTTTTTCTTTAAAAAGCTCTGGGCAAGCCTTCATTCTTAACACATTTGAAGAAAAGTGTTAAGCATAATGTACAATGACTAAGAACTCCTGTGCCCCTTCTGTTAGGTCACGTTGCCTCCCCTTCTTACATGGCTGCAGTACTGTTTTTGTGACACTGCAGTTAGAGTGGCTTGAAGCGTGGAAGACCGCTTTCTCTTTGTGTTTGTACTCAGAGCAGCTATTAGAGGAAGACTTGTAAAGTTCTTTTTATTTCAGCTTTGGTGCCGGGGCAGGGTTGCCCCAAAGTGATTGGATTAAAAAAGAAATTAAAATGCCTCAGAGTAGCTGTGTGTTGTACCCATGTCAAGCAATAGAGCCTCCCTCTCTCCTTACTGCTTTCTGATAAATCGTCTTTTTATAGTATGAGTTTTTAACTACACAAATATTTAGACATTTTAAGTGTATTTTCTTTCAAATTTTAAAGTTCAGACAGTCTGAGAACTTGAGATAAATAGGTATATAGTCAAGATATGCTTTCCGATTAAAATTACTCTAAATCCTTATGTTATAAATGAGTTGTTTATGGGAGCTGGGTCCCTTTGATTAAAAAAAAAGTTCTTGAAGTCTTTCTAGCTACTTCTATTGCATTTTTTTACATGAATCTTTAATATAACATGCTTATCAAGTGGTTTAACTTCTTTTGACAGAGGCGCAATAAGAAATGCTTGCCAGATGTTAATGATTTTAGGTCTCGAAGGACGATCCGTCTATGAAGAAGATTTTGAGGCCCCTTTTTTGGAAATGTCTGCAGAATTTTTTCAGGTAATCAGTGAAGATATACATAAATGCTCTTTTAAGATATTATCAAAGTTTGATTTGAACGTTTGGCCTTTTTCTACTGAGGCCCTTTGGGAAGGAGAGTACAAGAATACCCTTCAGACACCTACTCCCCATGCTCACATTCTAGGGAAGGAACCCATTGAAAAAAATTGAAGAGTTTGGACTTACACACATGATTTTTTAAATTACGTGTTCTAAAACATACAAACTTAGAAATAACCTTAATGTTTTCTTAATATTTACATGTTACAAATTATTTACCATAAATTCAAAGGCAGTGCATCACTAATAAAGTCTCACTATTCAGGCTTTTGGTAAATATTAAGTTATATATATATATATTTTTTTTTTATGCATGATCTCATGGTGCATATATATATATATATTTTTTTTAAAGACTATTGATGAGGAAGTTAGAGGTCAATAAGTATCACTGATACAATTTTGCAGCAGTATAACGACCCAGAACCAAGTAAATTGCTGAAACTGAAACTAGTACTAATTTGTAATGTAAGACAGTATTAATAAGATCATAATAACCAGGCATCCTCCTGAAAACCTCAGTTATAGTAGGAGCTTTGTAGTGTTAAAACAGACTAAAAAAAATACTAAAAGTTTTTACTCCCAATAATAAGCTTTTAAAAAAAATGAATACAAAGTTACTGTAATTCTTAATAGTTCAGTAGGTCATTCATAAGAGCCACTGGATGTATATAAAGATGGAACTCGGGTTTTGGTGTCATTTACACATTAAGAAACAAAGAATGGACTTGCTGCCCCCCCCCCTTTTTTTAAATTAGTTTGTAGCCCATCAGGAAGACCTTTGTGGCCTGCACTGGTGAGCCTGGACCATGCTTCATGAACTATTAATTTTATAATGTAGGAGGCAGGCTGTATTTTCCAATAATGCAGCAACTAATGCTGGGTATATTTGACAGTATTTTTGACCTTTACATTCGTTTTAATTTCCTTCATTACATTGTAGACATACCAATAGAAGATTAATTGTCAAGATTCCAAAATGTGCTGCAGTGATACATGTATGCATGTGCATATATACATAATACATACTGTTTTTAACAGTGAGTGGAGACATGGTCTCACCAGTTTTGTTTGGTGTGTTAATGTCTGTTCTTAGAAACTTTATTATTTTCAAGGATTAAAACTACTTTTTGTTAAGAAGGTGGGAAGTGTTACTAAATTTTATACATAGTGTGTATCAACATGTTTTCTGTTTTGTAAATCTTTTATGTATTCATTAATCCTGCTATCAAATAGGTTAAAATCATTTGGATTAACATTTATAATTTAGTGGAACTTCTGTAAGGGTGGTGATAGCAGACAAGATTAAGAGTTATTTAAAAACTCTGTTTCTCAAACTTCAGTGTGTGTGCACACATACTCCTTTGAGATTGGGAGTGGGGTGGCAGTTGGACTTTAGTAACTAGCAGTATGTCAGCAAAACTATGATAAACATGTTGAACCTTTCTAGGCATAATTATACATTAAAACAAATCAGAAAAGAATTTTCCACTCTGACTTGGGGTCAGATACTTCATTCTATACTTTTGACCTTTACTGGCACGTGCTTGCTTGTTCTGCTATTTGAAGTACATTGTCAAAGTTTGAAAAACACTGCTTAAGGATAACGTATTGATTTCTCTTATGTGATCAGTGCTTTAAAGGGTATAATTCAGACTATGTAGATCTGTATGATAAGAAGCTAAAAATGTTAATAGTGCTTATGATAATTTAGTTTGGCTTATGATAAATGTTATAGAAACACACAAAGTTAAAAGGAGAAACACATTTTCCTTCTATGTTTAAAAAAAATCATGTTTTTTATTTGCAGATGGAAAGCCAGAAATTTTTAGCAGAAAACAGTGCTTCAGTATATATAAAGAAAGTAGAAGCTAGAATTAATGAAGAAATAGAACGGGTGATGCACTGCCTTGACAAATCAACTGAAGAGCCAATAGTAAAGGTGGTTGAGAGGGAGCTCATTTCCAAACACATGAAAACCATAGTAGAAATGGAAAATTCTGGGCTAGTACATATGTTGAAAAATGGAAAGACAGAAGGTAAGTGTCAGCAATTCAAATATAATTAAATCTTTATAATTCTGCCAGGTTCTTAGTAATTTTTTTTTATTTTCCTATACTTAAAATAGATTATGAATGTCAGTCTTAAAGTTGTGTGTGTCATTAATTTATTAACTTATTACTTTGATAGGATTTAAGAGTAAAGCTTTATTAATGAGGATTTTTGGTGTTGTTTCTTGTTAATTGAATGGCTCTTTTTTGCTTTCATTTTAGTCTCCTTACTTTTTGTGTTTTTCTTGGCCCAGAAGTCCTAATATTCCTGTCCTTTTTGTAGACAAGAGAGTTGGACTCTCCATTGCCACATACTGTCTATGTGATTTTTTTGTGGTTCTTCTAAAATGTTACATTCCAATCATAAAATTTCTGTAGGTTTTCCTTTGGGAGTTAGTTGTGATAAGGGGGCTGAAAATGCAAAAATAGTGTCTTTCATGTGACATTCAGATAAATTAAGTAGATTGGTTTTGGGAACTCTGAAGTTAACAGACTTCAGAGAAAGGAGAATTGCTTTATAAAAGTAAAAGTACACAGTTTTGAGATAACTGTAGCATTTATTCTTGTTGGCTACTTACCCTTTTTTTTCCTGAAAACAATATTTTATGATTTCCCTATGAGAAATTATAAATAAAAGAGTAATAGTCATGTTGTCCTTGTTTTTAATTTCTGAAGTTTTACTTTAAAATTATGACTTTAGAAATCACTGATATGCTATTAAAAAATAAACATGGTACTCTTGCTATTTTCCTGCTTCTTAGATGATGTCTTAGCAGTATTTTGCTACTTTTTTTTTTTTAAAGATTTTCATTTATTTATTTATTTGACAGAAAGACAATGAGAGAGAGCATAAGCAGGGGGAGTAAGAGAGGGAGAAGCAGGCCTCCCACTGAGCAGGGAACAAAGTGCAGGGCTTAATCCCAGGACCCTGGGATCATGACCTGAGCCGAAGGCAGGCGCTTAACGACTGAACCACCCAGGCACCCCGCTACTTACTTCTTATAAAAGAAACACATGTTGACTGTTTAAGTTAAGAGCTTGGCAGGGAATGGAAAACAATTTTTAAGTGAACAATTTAAAGGAGAGGAGGGATGTAAGAGGAGAGAAAAGTAAGATGGTAGGAAAGGAGGTTGTTTTCTATGCTTCCTCCAGTGTAGTCTTGTGTTTTGAAATGCTTATTACATTTCTTCCTGAAAGTTTTTTTTAAATTTGTAATTTCATTAAACCAGAGAAAGTTACTTTTTTTTTTAGACCCTTCTTGGGATGCCTGGGTGGCTCAGTCAATTAAGCACCTGACTCTTGATTTTGGCTAAGGTCATGATCTCAGGGTCCTGGGATCAAGCCCCACGTTGGGCTCCACACTCAGTGTGGAGTCTGCTTGAGATTCTCTCCCTCTGCCCCTCACCCCACTCATGCTCGTTTTTTTTCTCAAAGTAAATAAAATCTTTTAAGAAATTTTTTTTTTTTTGGTTATAATTTATGCCAAATGTGAGAAACTAAGATTTGCTGTATGTAGTTTTGTTTGGACATGTATTATTGCTGAAAACTTATTTTTAATACAATTTGATTTTGAAAGTCACTGAAACAGTTTCAAATTTTAGAAGCCCTTTTTGTAAAACTTGCTTCTAAGTATTTTTTAAATATACAACTTTAGTTTTAGGATCTAAATAGCTGTTAAAGTGAAGACCTGGGTAGGTAAATTATAGCCTGTCTGCCAAATGTGGCCCACCAACAGTTTGGTTAGGGGGGGAAAAAGTCAAAAGAAGAGTAATAATTCATTGCATATGAAAATTACATAAATTTTTAGATGTCTGTGTCCTTAAGTAAACTTTTATGGGAACACAGTCATGCCCATTCATTTCTGTGTTATCTGTGGCTTCTTTCTTGTTACAGGGGCAAAACTGAAGTAGTTGCAACAGAGACCATGTGGCCCACAATTCTATAAAATATTTACTCTCTGGCACTTTATAGAAAAAAATTTCCTAGCCCCAAATCTAGAAACTGCTATTCTAACTCCATTTTCAAAAGTCTTCCGATTATAAAGCTTTTGTATTTGTATATCATTGTACAGTTTTGACACAGTTCTCAGTAAGTTCTTATTTCAAAGAAACCCCAGACTCGTGGGAAAGCAGTATTTTACCTCCACATTTTAATCTAGTGAAAAATGATATAAAAAAATGGACAGAATCCAATTTTAAAATACAGGTATTGGCCTAGGACATCACCTGAGAAATACTAGGGATTGCTCTGAGGAAAATACTGAGGAGTAGAAATATATGCTAAAAGTTTCATATAAACTTTGTCATGGTATGTAATGAAATTCTAGTATATTTTATTTATTGTCATGTTGTTTGAACTTTGAGATAGATGTACCCAAAACTATCTAAGATTTTTAATTGGTTTTTATATTTCTTCCCTTATTCTGTTGACTACTAATTACACAGTAAATAAGTTATTCTTTTGATAGACATTGTGTAGTATTACTGGACTCTGGATTAGAATTGTGTAGGAACTCAAAGCTACGATTTTCTTAGGGCTTTTTTGTTATGCTGTATGGGCATCTTCCATGTAAACTAAAATGTACTGAGACATTTTATTGACGCTCTCAAAGCATCTTGTCTGAAAGCTTTCATAAGTTGCAATAATAACCATTAACTAGCCTAATTTTTTTCCTTTTCTCTATTTTGCTGGGTGTTTTTTTCATAAATTTTTCACATGATCAAGTGGTAGGTGATGGAAAAATAAGCTTCTTTAAGTTCACATATCAGAATAAACAGATTCACATTTTTTTCCTTAATCCTTAATGTAGTCGATTTGTACTTTCTGATTGCAGACCTTGCTTGCATGTACAAGTTATTTAGTCGTGTGCCAAATGGCTTGAAAACAATGTGTGAGTGTATGAGTTCCTATTTGAGGGAACAAGGTAAAGCCCTTGTTTCTGAGGAAGGAGAAGGAAAGAATCCTGTTGACTATATCCAGGTAAGCGAATACAGAAGATTCTCTTTAAGTTTGTGATAAAATAATTTTGACACATGCTAATAAAAAGTTCACCTTTACTGAGCTGCATGTATTTTGTATTTTTTACTTTAATTTTCCCAATAGAAAAATAATATGTGTAATTATCCTAAATATTTTAGAATTTTGTGAAGTATGTATCTTTGTATCAGGGAACCAAACTAAGCTGCTGCTTTTCATTTGTTAACTTGTTTGATGAAGACCTTATTTAAATGATTTAAAGAGTGAAAATAACTACTTTTTTCTATGCTTTAGTGTTCATGTACTTTGGGGTATTAGAAAAAAATAACTTTTCAGTTAAATACCTTTTGTTCAAAAATGTTGTGCTTTAAAGCAATACTATGAATAAATTATGCTCCAAGTTTTTCATGTTTCAGTATACATAATCGCTTTTTTGGTGCCTCTTTAAAGCTGATTTTCTCGGGCTTTACCCGTTCAGTCAAGACAGAGAAGGCTATGGAGAAATAGCGCAGTGGTTCTTTAGTTCATCTTCAATAGAGTAATTATACAAATGGAAAATAGACTACTTTCCTCATTGCTGACATGTTTAATATGGGCTTAGATAAAGTCTTGAAAATAATAATACAGAACCTATAAGTTTAACACCGAATGCACCCATTTATTACCAGCAAAGTTAAGATAAACATACCTGATTGTAAGTGTATGGTTTATAGAAAAAAATTATTATAATGTATCCTGAATTTCTTTGTTTCTATTTGGAAGGGCTTATTGGATCTGAAGAGTAGGTTTGATCGCTTCCTCCAGGAATCGTTCAATAATGACCGGCTCTTTAAACAAACTATTGCGGGTGACTTTGAGTATTTTCTCAACCTCAACTCCAGGTCCCCTGAATACCTCTCATTATTTATTGATGATAAGCTGAAGAAGGGAGTCAAAGGGGTAAGTATTAAAGCATTTGGGAACACATTATGTTTTATTTGTAGATTTAAAACTGTATATAAAATTAGGAAATACAAAAATAGGAAATTTTGTAGTAGATATGAAATTAAGTCTCTTCCTTTGCTGTGCTTTAAATGTGTGCTGTGTTGTTTGAAAAGGATTGTTTAAGGTATCTGAAGTGGTACTTTGACATTTCGCTTAATGTATAATTTACATCAGAACCAAACAACTACACAGCCACAATTGTTCAACAGTCTTTATGGATTTGATATGCTATAGAGATAATAGGGAACTAGAAAACAAATACCATAGCATGGAATGTTGCTTGCTGTCATCTGGTTCTGGGAGTTACATATCAAACAGTAATACTTGGATGCCAAGAATGTGAAGGAGTAGATTAGAATTGCTATCAGAAAGTAGTTTGAAAGCCTTTATTATATATCTGGGATCTTGGAGTTTACTACAGCGTAGAAAATCAGATTAAGCATATTGTGATCACATACACATTGGTCTTTTTAACTTCATCTTAGAATTTGTGAAAGAAAAGGGAAAAGCAGCAAATGGCCACAGATTGTCCAGCCAGCTATAACAACGAAGAAAGAGGAAGATCATGATAGGAAAGACAACATCCATTTGGTCTTCGTATTTTTTAAATATATGCTAAATAAAATCTGCTACAGTATCATCTTGCTCTTATTTAAAAGATAAGGACAGGGGCCTTCTTAGTGTTTGAATTATATAACCAATTAGTACTCTTCTGTTTGCACAATGTAGATTTTGAATGAGCTGATAGAAAATATCTGTCTTTTGCCTATGTAAGTTTCTGCCTAAATGCTATGGAAAAGCATTGTAAGAGTCTTTTTTGTGATTAAAATTTCATTTTAGGGGCACCGGGGTGGCTCAGTCAGTTAAGCCTCTGCCTTCGGCTCAGGTCATGATTCCAGGGTCCTGGGATCGAGCCCCACATTGGGCTCCCTGCTCAGCAGAGAGTCTGCTTCTCCCTCTGCCCCTCACACCCACCCCACCCCCCCATCCCAGCTCGTGCTCTCTCACTTGCTCGGTGGTCTCAAATAAATAAAATCTTAAAAAAAAAAAAAATTTCATTTCATTTGTTCTCAGTCATCCTTTAATCCAGCCATTGTCCCCTCATTTGCTCCATTCAGTGGTAGCCCTCTAGGGAAGGGAATTCCAGTCCTTGATCCATGCTGCACTAGATGAGGATGTAAAAGAGTGGTGCTACTCTGAAGTAGGAGGCACATTCTCAAACTGGGTCCCTCCTGACAACATCTCTCAACCAGACTATTTATGTTTGTTGTCCCAAGTCTTGTTTTTGTTTTTAGAGAGGTGGGGCTAGGGGAGGGGCAGGAGGAGAGTGAGAATCCCAAGCAGGCTCAAAGCCCAGCACAGAGCCCAATGCAGGGCTCGATCTCACCACTCTGAGATCATGACCTGAGCTGAAATCAAGAGTCATATGATCAACCCACTGAGCCATCCAGGCGCCCCAGTCTTGTTTGTAAACTGCCGATGAACTGTGGTGATATTTTTGTAGAACTAAAGTTTTATAATTATTAAATTGTCTTTTCATTGATTTTGCAGCTAACAGAACAAGAAGTAGAAACAATATTGGATAAGGCAATGGTCCTTTTTAGGTTTATGCAAGAAAAAGATGTATTTGAACGTTATTATAAACAACACTTGGCAAGAAGACTTCTCACAAATAAAAGTGTTTCTGATGACTCTGAAAAAAATATGATATCTAAGTTAAAGGTAAGGTGTATATAAGCTGGAATGATGCGCCCCCTACTAATGTTTATCACATGATTGAACACCACAACATGTGATTAGAAAATATTTAATTGATTTAAAATGCTTATTTCTATAAGTTAATAAAGCTGGATTTTTTGAGCGGATTACACTTAGATTTGTTTATGTTCTGGGACATTCAGAGTTTGGAATTTCTCTTGCTGTGGCAGGATACATTCATGGAGATCTGGGGGAGGATTAGTGCAAGGGAAATAGGAAAGGGAGTGTCACCATTGAGTTTCATTTCACAAAGTGTGGGCCATGGACCACCTGTACTGGTATCACCTGAGCTGCCTATTAAACACGTAGTGTTCGTCCATACCTTAGTGAGGTGTATTGGGATCTCCAAAAGAGTCTGTGAACCTGCATTTTAAAATAAAATCCGTGGGTTACTCTTAAACACACTGAAGTTTGGTAGCCACAGGCATAGAGCAGCTATTGGAAAGATGGAGAAGGGATGTCAGTTACGTGGAAGAGTTTATTTTTTTGTATATTTGCTCATAGAAAAATCCATTGTTTGTGTATATTTGCGGTTTTCTTACACAGACTGAATGCGGATGTCAGTTCACATCAAAACTGGAAGGAATGTTTAGGGATATGAGCATCTCAAACACAACTATGGATGAATTCAGGCAGCATCTACAGGCAACTGGGGTAAGATTCTCCATTAATTTCTCCTTATGTGTGTGTGTCTATGTGAAGTCTTGTAATGGGCACTTTTCATCCATGTTAAACTGAACCGGTGTCATTCCTTTAATTAAATGGTATTAGTGGCAACATTTGTATTGTCTTGTGTGTACTTTAAAAATTATTCTCCCCCATATTAGCCCTCTTTTTAACTATTAATGTTAAAGTATTTTTTCCTTATTCTCCCAAAACTTAGTTTATCCTCTCCGCTTGAGGGAATGTGCTGAAAATTTAATAGATAGAGTGATTACACTGTTCTAACCATTATAGATTGTGGAAAGAAGACAGGGCTTGGGCAAGCTTGCTGAGTTTAGTACTCTTCCTCTCACTTTACCCCCCAGGATTGTGTGATCTTTAGAATCATTACCTGACCTTCCTATTTATACTTCAATATTCTCATCTGTAAGATCAGCATACAGGGGTCTGACGTTTTTTACGTCATATGTGTTATAAATGTGGTTTTGTACTGTGACTCCCAGAAGGCAGTAAAGCTGCAGTTTACATGGCTTTGGAGTCTGTTTTTTTTTTTTTAGGATTTAATGAAGTTCAGAATTTTTTTTTTTTTTTTTTTTTTTTTTTTACTGTTTTTCAACTTTACCTTAAGTTGAGAGAACTCCACAGGTTTTCTTTAAGAGTTTGCTTTCTCAAGTGATCATATACAACTGTATAATTAAGACCTGTTACAGCCACTTAAAAAATTTGGAGGTTATGCCTCTGATTTTCTTCTCTCTCTCTCTTTTTTTTTTTTTTGAGAGAGCATGCAGGGCAGGGGGAGTTGGTTGGGAAGGACTGAGGGAGGGAGAGAATCTTAAGCAGGTTCCATACATGGAGACTGACAGGGGGGCTGGATCTCACAACCCTGAGATCATAACCTGAATTGAAACAAGAGTTGGACGCTTTGGGCGCCTGGGTGGCTCAGTTGGTTAAGCGACTGCCTTCGGCTCAGGTCATGATCCTGGAGTCCCGGGATCGAGTCCCACATCGGGCTCCCTGCTCAGCAGGGAGTCTGCTTCTCCCTCTGACCCTCTTCCCTCTCGTGCTAAAAAAAAAAAACTCTCTCTCAAATAAATAAATAAAATCTTTAAAAAAAAAAAAGAGTCGGACGCTTAACCAACTGAGCCACCCAGGGTGCCCCCATTCCTTTAATATTTAGATATGAAACCATCACTTATACTGCTCCCAGTCTCATCACAGACAGATTATGTGAAAATACCAAATTCTATAGAAATGGACATTTATATTATATATATATGTTAAGGCATTCTGACTCAGAGGGACTTCTGGTCTCTCCCCATTGTAAATAGTTATGATTTGCCTCATAAAGTTTATTGTGGAGAAGGACTGAGAGCAGGAAAGATACAAGTGTGTGACAAATAGAAATTTTGTTGGGCATGAACTGAATAATGTGGTTATCCTAGATACTCTTTTCCTTTTTTAGATTGTTTATAGAGATTTGTGCTTGATTCTGATACATTAATATAATTATATTTTCATGCAATAGAATTATTTTTCCTGTTTATTTTTTTCTTCCACTAATTCTACACATATTGAGTGCTATAGGGATATAATCTGGTCTGAGTAAATATTTTGTTGAAATAAACCATCTGTAAGAGAAATGTTCCTGGGTGGGTTCAACACTCTTACTATGTAAGTGTCTAATTAATTACCTTGTCTGTGATCGGTGAAGGTCTTTTGATAAGAAAATACGATCTTTACTCTTGACCACTTTGTTGCTGTTGTTCATTTTAAAAAGGGGGAGCGGGCTAGTTGTTGAGCATGATGATTTTATCAGATCCTGTTATTTTTGGTTATAAAGTTTGTGAATTTTTCATTTATTTAATAATTCAAATATCTCTCGCACTCTGTGGTAGAATATTTGTTTGATAATTTGTTAACTGCAGTGAGAGTACTTACCAAGATGCTCAGAGTTACATATCTGCTAATCTGGTTGCAGTTTCCACTTACTGTAAGGCCATTATTTGCCTGCAGTTACTGGCTTTTTTTAATTGTTTATGCTAAGGATCTTAAGCTTTAAGTCTTCCTAAGCCTTAATCTACATTAGAAAGAGTTGATGAAAAGTGGCAAAATTATCAGAACAAATATTGAGCTTTCTGAAATCTTTGAGCCCTTTTAAAATATCACCAATCCTCAAGCAGACCTTTCTCTAACTTTAAGTGCTCTTGGCCTATTGAAATCTTTCAAGACAGTGGCTCTTCCATTTACTTTCAGAAGTAATATATTGGGGTGCCTGGGTGGCTCAGCCATTAAGCGTCTGCTTTCAGCTCAGGTCATGATCCCAGGGTCCTGTGATTGAGTCCCGCATCGGGCTCCCTGCTCAGCGGGAAGCCTGCTTCTCCCTCTCCCACTCCCCCTGCTTGTGTTCCCTCTCTCGCTATGTCTCTCTCAAATAAATAAATAAAATCTTAAAAAGAAGTAATATAACAAGTACTCTCTTAAAATTCAAATAATACTTGTGGTATATTTTATTTAGATGAATCTTAATTATTATGCTTAAGGAAATTTTAAGTGTTTGCCCATTTTTTCCTGTGTTTTTATTTTGAAAACTGGGACGGGGTAGGGAAACCAGGCTTGCTATTACATTTCTGTTTATTTATATCGGCAAGTCATACCCTATTCCAACAGACTTTTCTGATATCTCAGTCTCTGTATACTTGTCCCTATCATGTACTGTCTTTGAATATAAGTTGAATGTCTTCAAAACACTGCTAAAAAAGCTATAGGAAGACGATTTAGAAACCAGTAAAGCAATAGTTCTTTGAGTTTGTTTTTTGTTTTTTTTTTCCATTTAACAGATATCTAGCAAATAAAAGTGCTTTCCACGCCAAGCATTGTTTGGGCACTGGATAGAAAGCAGAGAATGGAAGAGACTTCATTCCCTTCCATGATGGAACTTCCATTCTAATCTGGGAGACAGATGACAAATAAGATAAGCAAGCATATAGCACCTTAGCTGGTGATAGGTGATATGGAGGAAATCTATAGTGGCAAAGTGGTCAGGGAAGGCTTCCTTTAAAAACTGACGTTTTGAGGAAAGATTTGAAGATGAGGGAGCAAGCCATGTGAGTACATGGGAGAAAGGAGAAAAGACTTTATTGTCTTGGGTGGATTAAACCAAGTTGTGACACCATTACTGCCACTTGAAAATGCACCACTCCCACTGCCAACCTCTGCTTGTCGTCTAAGAGTCTCTCCTGTGGCCCTCTCTCCTCTAAGGCATTTTTTTTTACTAATTCAACCTGTTTTTTAGGATTTTCTTTCTTTTTTTCTTTCTTTCTTTTTCTTTTTTCTTTTCCTTTTTCCTTTTTCCTTTCCTTTCCTTGACTGAGAGAGAGCATGAGCCAGGTGAGGGGCAGAGAGAGAAGCCGACTCCCCTCTGAGCAGGGAGCCCAAAGTGGGGCTTGATCTTGGACTCTGGGATCATGACCTGAGCCGAAGGCAGCCATTTAACCTTGACTGAGCCACTCAGGCTCCCCCCTCACCCCAGTTCAACTTCTTTAAAATTGAGTAGTCATTTAGTAGATACTTGTGAAGAATCTGAGTGTGGCGTATTCTTGATATTTATCAAGTTTAGCCCTCCCTTTTAAAAAATCTGCATCATGAATCCTCCAGGTTAGATAAATATGGAAAAATGGTTAGAACAAGCTGTGAATATCAATAATAATGGTAATATTTCACCCTGAGGAATTCCTATTAATGTGCTTTCTAGTTTTCTTAAAAATTTATGTATAAAGAAGATAATATCTAACCATGACAGTAGTGATAGCATCTGTTTTATAGAGGTGGTTATCCATTATCCAGCATCTGTAGAGCGTACTGTGTAGAACTGGATCTAGAGTGTCCTATGCAGAGGTTGTTAAAATAAGAACTACATGTGAAAACATGAAAGTTTTGATCAATGTAGTTGAAATGTGAACAGGATTAGTAGAAATAGGTTGTTAAGATGGTAAAAATATTTAAAAGCTGAGATGAAAGATTAATATCCTTCAGATGAAAGATTTAGAGTTCTCTCTAAAATGATACTGATAGGGCCTGTTGACATTTTATCTAGAAAACCTTAAGGGCCAAAACTTCACTCCTCTCAGTGACACCAGTAAGACTTTGTTCGTGTACTAAGAACTCTCCTTTGGTCATTATTTTAAAATGGGCGTCTTAAGCAATAATTATAGATATTTGCCAGGATAGTTAAAATTTGGAAAACACTGATCTAATCTTTAAGAAGGTATGTTTTATTTGCTGGATATTGGACATGGAGCTAACTACTTGGATAACTCTAACCCAGTGTCTATATGGAATGGAAAACAAATCCTAGTTAATTTGAGGGGGACATCTTTTTTGTCTTCTACACAGGTATCTTTAGGTGGTGTTGATCTCACAGTCCGGGTGCTCACGACAGGTTATTGGCCCACTCAGTCAGCCACACCAAAGTGCAACATCCCACCAGCACCAAGACATGCTTTTGAGATATTCAGAAGGTAAACATAGATCAAACTTTGTGTTTGTAAGTACAAATAATTGTCCAAAGTTGGAATAAACTTGAGCAATAGCGTCCCTGATTGAGGATGAATCTACCTCATGTTCAAAAGGAAAAATTGTTCTTTATGCTTTTTAATATGTAAAAATGAGTTGCATAAACTCTTTGGAGAGGACTGTTTTCCATGGTTAGGAGTGTAGTTTGCATTGTTGATGTCTGCCTCTGGCTTAGAGCAAATTGATGACTGGGTTACTATGGAGAAAAGTGATCTTATGAATAGTAGCAGCTGAGCGGCAGGCCAAGGGGCAAAGTATACTAATAGAAACTAACATTTCCCTTATACATAGATGCTTGTTAAAGGTTGTTATCCTGTAGTTTATAATTCCAAATGTGTAAATTATATGATTTTCTAAAACCTGGTTTGATTTGCTAAAGGTTTTACTTAGCCAAACACAGCGGTCGACAGCTTACACTCCAGCATCATATGGGTTCCGCAGATCTCAATGCCACATTTTATGGACCAGTTAAAAAGGTAAATATTGATAGTTTGGGAACATACTTACATTAAGTAATTTAAAGTTAGTTTATAGAATTGATTTCTCATTTTTGTTGACCTGGGTAAATTATGTATTTCTCTTATTTTTCCTACTCAGTTAAAATACTCAAAAAGGGAAACTGGCTTTAGCTTATATTCTCTCAGTTGCTAGCTTCATTGGACAGTATGAGGACCCTATCCAGTAGCCTAGCCTTCCTTCAGGAATGTATAATAAGACAGTATTGCATAAGATAATAAAATGTAAATTGATTTGAGAGCATACAAAGCTGTGAGTCCCTTTTTAAAATTCTCAGTCTTTTATAATCCTTATTTCCAATAGATCAAAACCAGGAAAATTAACACAAGATCTTGTGAGATAAACAAAATATTAATAAAGTGATTAAAATTAGCAAGGCACTAGTGAATTGCCTTTGTTGAAAAAATGTAATTTCTTTTTTATATCGAAAATTGTGAGGTTTAGACTAATCATTTACTTTCATTGCTTGGGTGTAAATCAAATCAAAGTCATTTGCCTTCAAATAGAAAAATAATAAAAAGCTTTTAGAGAAATGTTAAGGAAAAATATCCAAGTTGTTATTTAGGCAGCAAATAAAAGTTTTATATTTTTTTTTTTTTGCTACTGGTTTCATATGTCACTGTTGTAACACTTTTTTTTTAATATTGTCAATGTCTACACATACTCTGATTTTTATATTTAATTGAAATGGGAAGTATTCTTTACAATTCATTTACTTGAATAATGTTTGACACTATTATATATTTGAGTGTAGTGGGAAAGTTAAGGATATTAAAAACTCGGCTTTTAATTCTTGCTTGCTTTTGTTTTAGAGGAGTGGATTTTTTCCTAAATAATCATGTTTTCTTTCAGAGTTTTATTAAACAGATAAGTGGGTTTTAAAAACAGTTCATATGTTAATTACTGAAGACTTAAATTTCTATTTTGTACTTAAGTCACAGAGCAGGAACAGGCCTAAGGATGGCAGAGATTTTTCCCTCCATCCTGTGCTGTTATTTTATCTCTTGCTGTGATCAGACCACACAGAAAGAAACCCCTGCTACTTTTGGGAGCTTGTAAAATGACAGTGTTGTCTTTTAAGTCCATTATCCCATTGTGTACTGTTAAAATAATTTTAGCTATAACTATAAGGAATTGTTGATTCATTATTTGCTCAGATACATTAAAATGTTCATAATGGGGAAAAAAGGACAGTCCTTTAAAGTAATGACTTAGCGTGCCTGTGTGTATGTGTGTACACAGACCCATACACATAACCATTTTTTAAGTGACATTGCCTTTTTATGTAGGAATAAGTTACGTAGTTTTGCTAAGTGGAGAGTTGGATATAACAGTGCTTGTCTTTGAAAAGCATACGGTTAAAGTTATCAGATAATTTTATCTTGCTTATATTTCTTAAAAAATGAAACAGGAAGATGGATCCGAAGTTGGTGTCGGAGGGGCACAAGTAACTGGCTCTAATACACGGAAGCACATATTGCAGGTCTCCACTTTCCAGATGACCATATTAATGCTCTTTAATAATAGAGAAAAATACACGTTTGAGGTATGGGTTGATTATATAAATTTTAAGCATTTGTATTGTTTCTGATTCTCACCTGTTACTGGATTCTTTCTTATTTGAGTAACCTTTAAAGTTATTATTTGAGTACTATTATTGTTGTTGTTATTAAGTAACCTTTGAGTACCGTTAGAGAAAACAGCATAAAACTAGGCTATGGAACTGTGTGAACACCATAGACATATTGGGTCACATTTCATTTAGTTTGTTAAAAATCAACTTTATCGAAGCAAAAGTTTTACATGATAAAACATGTCCCATCTAAGTGCATAATTTGATGAGTTTTAACAGATCTGTGAACCTGTTTAAGTGCCATCACAATCAAGGTACAGAATATTACCCCCTAAATTTTTATCTCCCTTTGCATTCAGTTCCCTCCCCTTGCCCTCAGACTGCCAGTGATTCGCTTTATATCGCTGTAGATTAGTTTTGCCTTACTAGAATTTCAGATAGTTGGAATCCTAGAATATGTGTTGCTGTTGTCTGGTTTCTCTCACCTACCACGTATTTTTGAGATTCACCCTGTCAGTGTGCGTATAGTTTCAGTAGTTCATTCCTTTTTATTGCTGAGTTATACTCATATATATGGATTTACTACGTTTTCTTTACCCATTCACCTATTGATGGGCTTTTGGGTTGTTCCCAGATTTAGGCTGTTAGGAATAGAGATACGTTGAACTTCTTAAGAGACCCAAACTGTGTCCCAAAGTGCTATGCTATTTTACATTCCTGCCAGCAGTGTAGGAGAGTTACAGTTGCCCCACATCCTCTACAAAATTTAGTAGTCTTTTAATTTTAACTGTTTAACTTGGTGTGTGTCATTTTATCTCATTGTGGATTTGATTTGCCTTTCCTTGACTGTAAAGATGTTGAGCATCCTTTCTGTGTTCCTTTGCCACTTATATGTCTTGTTTGGTGAAGTGTCTGTTCCTATCTTCATTGGGTTGTTTAAAAGCTTTTTATAAATTTTGGATACAAATCCTTTGTCAGACCTATGTGCTGTGAATATTTTCAGTCTGTCATTTGCCTTTCCATTTTCTTTAAATGACATTTTTTGAAGAGCAGAAGTTTTCAATATTAAAAAAATCGAGTTGCCATTTCTTCCCTTTTGTAGCTCATGCTTTTGATATCCTAGCTCTAAGAAATTAATGGTTACCCTGAGGTCGCAAAGATTTTCTTCTGATTTTATTCTAAGTGGCTTTTTAGTTTTAGCTTTCACATTTAGGTCTATGATCAGTTTCAGGTTAATTTTTTTATGTGGTTAAGATTAAGGATTAAGAATTATTTCCCCTCCTTGGGGTGGCTGGCTGGCTCAGTCATTAGAACATATGACTGGATCTCAGAGTCATGAGTTCAAGCCCCGTGTTGGGGGTAGAGTTTTCTTTAAAAAAATTAAAAATAAAGATTTATTTCCCCCCACACACAGATAGTCAATTGTTCATTCCATCATCATTTGTCAAAAAAAAAATTCTTTTCCCTTTAAATTACCTTGGCACCTTTATGAAAAAAATCAATTGACCGTATATGTATGGGTCTGTGTCTACACTCTGAGCTATTTCATTGATTTCTACGTCTATCCTTAGGCTAGTTTTACACTACCTTGATAGTATCAAATTTCCTTTTGTATACCCATCTTTTTTTCCTTTCCTCCTTTAAGTCCTTTGATTACATTAAATTCATTTGGTCTTTTCCCTTACCTTTAATGGGTACGTTGGAGTTGAAATAAAGATCATGAGAATCTTAAGTTTAAATTTAAGATAAAGAATTAATACTTTGAAAAAGCTGTAAAATTACTGCCATATTTATACTTAGTTGAAAGTCAGTTTTCAGATACAGGTGAACATAGAAATAAGTTAAAGTTTGAAATTTAGAGTAAAATTAAATTGTAGGCCTATTTTAATACCTACCTCTATACTTCCATTTATGTAATAGATATAATTAAGAAATGAACATTTTTATGTGATACACCTCAAGGAAATGTTTTGAAACCCAGGTGTTTTAGGTCAGTGACTAAGTCAAGAGGTTTTGCTCTTACCTGTTTCCAGGTATGTCTTACCTAGGGAGTAACCTTAATTGTCAAGCACAAGTTATATGTGATTTAGTCCCAAGGATATTGATTAAGCAAGTATTGAGTACTCTACTGAAGTTGTAAGCCTCTTCAAACAGAGGTGGAATTAAATCATCTCTAACAGCTTGAATGTTTTAATCTGCAGCTGCCATGGGTATTATATTTTAAGCAAAATAAACTGCTTGATAAATGCTAATGTTGGTTTTCAGAGTCCTCCTTTGTAAAGACCTGGTGAAAATAATGGGAGAAACAAAAACATAATCTAATTTTCTAAAGCTGTTATTAGAATTACTAGTAATTGTAGTGGTTCAGGCTTACTCTTCCCTTTCCCCACCAGCTTGGGATCACTAAGGCTAATGAGCATCATTACGTAGAGGATAAAATTAAGCAGAAAATTCCTCTAATATTTCACATTTTAGCTAAGTCACAAACCAGATGCCTGAGTGTAAATGGCATATGTAGGATGCTATTCCTGTGGCTCCCAAAGCCTTCTGGCTGCTTGCATCTTGAACCAGGGGCATTGTGAGAAGGCACTTCAAGTTGGTACTCATACCATGTATTTCATTGTACTCTGCTGTGTAAGTTGTTATTAGCTGGCTCTTTTACAGAAATCATCTCCACAAATTGGAGAAGATAGTTAAAAGTATTTAATACTTTTTAAAAGGAAGCTGATTACTTCAACATTGTTTATGAGTTCAGTAAAATGGTGTTATTACTTACTTAATGCTACATAACACATCTTAAAACCTAGGGGTTAAAACAACCACTAACAATTTATTCTCTTTCCTGGTTTCTGTGGGTTAAAGATTTAGGTGGGGCTTGGTTGGGTAGTTTTGGCTCAGAGTTTCTCATGAGGTCGTGAAGATGTCAGCTGGGGCATCAGTCATCTAATGTTTGTCTGGGGCTGGAAAACACACTTCTAAGCTATTGGTATACTCTTCCTTCCACAGGGCTGACAAGTTCATTTTGCCTGTTGATAAAGAGGTCTTAGTTTCTCTTCACATGGGCCTTAACCACATGATTGTCCTTGCGTCCTGGTGGCTAATTCTCCTCCCTAAAGCAAGCCATCCAAGAGACCCAGGCAGAACCTGAAGTGCCTTTATGACCTAGCCTTAGAAGTCACATATTGTCACTTTCGGATTTTCTTGATCACCCAAGTCAGCCCTGATACGGTGAGGGGATCACACAGGGGTAAAACATACCAGGATCATTACAGGCCATTTTGGAAGCTGCCTGCAAAAGGTGGCATTTATTCATAGTGTCACGTTCATGCACAGTAGTCAGGCTGCTAAAGCTTTTTCCTTTTTTTATGTATTTCTTTAATTAAAAGAAGTTTGTATTATTTAAAACAGCTAAAATCAGGACATACATAGAGTGGTAGTATATAGCTTGGGTTATTAACTAGCATTTGGTTTTTGAAAGAGATACGGGTATTATTAATACATATTTTTCTGAATGTTCTTTATTATAGTTCTTAAATTTTTCTGAGGAAGAGTCTGAAGTATAAAAACTAATCATGGACAATAGCAAAATTAATGTCAGGCAGTAGAATATAAATAGAAAGTGATCAAACAACAGTGATAATTGATATTTCATTAAGAAGTTACAACAATCATTAGTGACATAATTTCACATCATATAAAGGAAAATGGTTGGAAGTACAAGGTGAAATTAGACAATTCACAATCATAGAAGTCCCTCACGGATGTACTGACTGACCAGACAATAAAAAAGAAGATATAGAAGATTTCATAATTAGCAAATTAAAATTGAAGGCTTTACAGAGAACTTTGAACTCAGAAACAAAATACCCAGATTGCTCTTGGGAAATATCTGAGGCTGGCATAACCTTATTACTAAAAGTGAACAAGGAGACTACAAAAAAGAAAAAGCTATAGGTTATTCAACCTTAAATGCACAAATCTTAAATAAAATATTAGCATGTCCTATTCAGCAGTGTATTGAAAGAATGATTCAGTGTGTCCAAATAGGATTTATTCCTTTAATACAAAGAAGAAATTTGTTAATATAGTTAAGATTTTATTATATAATAAGTTAACTGACCACATGCTGTCTTGCCACACATTTCAAGGAGAAGACCAATTAATGATTTCTACAGATGTACAAAAAGCATTTGTAGAAGTCAGTCTTCGTTTCATATTTCCAGGATATGGGGGACCCTTAACCACCTAACAATAGAATGAAATGGCCTTTACTGTCGTTTGGATATATCTCATGAGAGACCTAAGCAAGCAGTAGTTAGTAGTAAAATATTAGACCCCTTCCCATTAAAGTTAGGAACAAGCTTTAGGATATCTGCCCTTATTACTGAAAAAAAAATACTGTTTTATAAGTCCTAACTAACACACCAAGAAAAAAAAAGTTTTATAAAATATCTGGAGTTGACAAAATTTGTAGACAGTGTGTAATCATCTGACAACATTGAGGAGAGTTCATTTGAAAAATCAACTTTTCTATAAATCAGAGTTAATCAGAAAATGAGACGAGGAAAGTTGTATTTTAAATAAGAATCATAATCTCCCTAGGCATCATTCTAACAAGAGAGGTAGAAGACTTCCAGCAAAAGGGCAATAAAAGCAAAAGAATTTGAAAGGGCAAATGTGCCCAGATGGGAAATTACATGTTATAGAGGAGGTATTCCATTTATGTTTAACATTAATACCACTGTCTGAATGGCCATGTTCATGTACATACATGTGTATTTGTATTCCTGTGTGTGTATGTAGATATGTAGGAAAAGTCATAAAGAATGCACACCGAATTGGCAATAGTCACCTCCGGGAATGATCTGTAATTGTAAAATACACCTAAGAAGGTATTTCTGGTTCTTTGAATATGATTAAGCAATAGCATATGTAAATAAGTCACCTTTAGCATGTACATTAATAATTATAATCAACATTCTAATAACAGCACCTATTTTTCTTGCTGGAATTAACATTTGTAGCATTTGAAATGGCTAACATAGGTAGACATACAGAGATCATTTGAGGCAAAGGAATGTGCCTCATCATCACTAAATTCACATTTCTCTCAATCCTCACTTACCTGACAGTCCTTTAGAGCAACTTGAGCTTTTGCTCAGATTTGTGAAAGAGAGAATGACTCTCCAGATCAGTTACATAATCAGTGTCCCCATCTTCATGCCCATTCTTCCTGAGCTGCTTTTGAGAAAGAAATAGCTCTGGATAGTAAATCAGAGTGATATATCCTACTGTGAAGACTTTGTGGCATCATACATCCCTGTAGACGTGTAGGAACTAAATCATATACGTGTGCAATTCTCATAATGTCCTATGGACCTAAGAGGCACATAATGAACCAAAAAATTACACATTCATTCTTTACCGTACTGCTTTTTTTTCAGTATTACATTTTATTCATACCATGATATGTTGCAAAAATTATCACCTGCACTTCAAAACAGATTTAACTGTTTTTAATGTTTTTCTAGAATTATCAGGTATTTAACTTTTTTTTCATTTGGTCAAACAGGCAGTAAATACAGTCAACTTGGATTATAAATTTTGATTGTATGATAGAAGGCCTTAGCTCAGGCTCACTTTGCTGCTTTCTATGAAGGAAGTTGCTGAGCAGAAGTAGTGTGGATCAACTTGGGAGGAAGATTGTAGAGTATTTCTAAAATTAGCAGTCCTATGTTGGTTAACATTTTATTTTTATGTAAATATTAAAGCAGGTCAGTAATAATCTCTGCTGGATGACATTTTTAGACCAGGCCCTGTATCTTCTGAAACAAAAGTACATGTCTTTTCAATATTTTGTAATTTGAATCACCTTTTTCTCTATAGTTTCTCCAAATAAGTGAGATTTTAGTGAAGGGTCCTAATTCTTTGTTGTAAAGGGAGTTCTTTGTTGGAAATTATCTCTTTAATACCTCTCTCTAACTCCTTCCTGCTTGGTCAGTTTTTTACTAATTAACTAATCTGTAATCTTTCAAAAAGTCTTAATTATGTCAATCTGATGGAATTTCAGGAAATTCAACAAGAGACGGATATCCCTGAAAGAGAACTTGTTAGAGCTCTGCAGTCCCTCGCCTGTGGTAAACCAACACAGCGGGTTCTTACAAAAGAGCCCAAGTCCAAGGAAATAGAAAACGGCCACATATTCACAGTTAATGATCAGTTCACATCCAAACTACACAGAGTCAAGATTCAAACAGGTATCTGGAATTATATGTTTCCTCTTACAAAAATGATACTTTATCCTCTAAAGAAATTATTATCTGTTGGATTTCTGTCTTTGAAAAAAATAATGCTTGGGGCGCCGGGGTGGCAAGTGTGTGTGTGTATATATAGTACTTTAAATCTAATTAAAATAGGAATACAGTTATATATGATAAGGAATTCAACTAGATGATCTCTTAAAGTTCTTTTCAGCTATAAAATTCTGGAAAGAATGTTTTCATTTTGAAATATTACTTAGATTATCATGACTCTTAAAAATGTTTTGTAAACATTAAAATTTTCTCTCTGGTGATAAGCATTGTGACCACACAGGTTTTCTTAAGTTGTCAAAATACATCCTTGCCTTTTGGCTCATAATCAAAGATTCAGAGACTCTGTCCTTGCCTAATTCTGCCTTTATTATAGTCAATAATAGAAGTTCAAACAAAGAAGTTAAAAGTATTACTCAAATAACACAACCTTTGAAAAGAATGAGATTTGTTGTAATCCACAGCAGTTTCCATAGTTCACAGTCCTCCCCGCCACCACCAGTCACATTTCCCTTGCCCTTTCCTTTTCCCTGATACAGCTAGATACGTATGTGCCCCATTGCACAAGCAAATGCCTCTCTTACCTTCTTCTTAAGGGAAGGGTATGGTGTGAGGTTCTGGGAGTGAGCTCCTGCCCTCACATTTTAAAAAACATAGTTCAGTGTGTATCACCACAGTCTTCCATTTATCTTGGAAAATACCTCTTTAGGTGGCCAAATCCTACAGAACGAAATAGATTGTTTTAAAAAATTACTTCTTCAACTTTTTATTTTAAATATTTTCAAATCCGTAGAAAAAGAAAAATACCACAATGGACGAAGGTATATGGCCATCACCAGTGTTTTGAGTCATTAAACTTTCTGCCCCATTTGCTCTGGTGCCTTTGACCCCACCCTCCCCCTCTCTCTCCATATATGTATATATTTGCTACAGTATTTTAAATTAATCAGCAAACATCACACTTCTCACCGCCCCAAAATAGACTAAGGTTTTTTTGTGTTTTTTTTTTAAGATTTTATTTGTCAGTGAGAGAGGGAACACAAGCAGGGGGAGTGAGAAGGAGAATCAGGCTTCCGGCTGAGCAGGGAGCCCGATGCGGGGCTAGATCCCAGGACCCTGGGATCATGACCTGAGCCAAAGGCAGATGCTTAATGACTGAGCCACCCAGGCGCCCCTAGACTAAGATATTTTCTAAAGTAACTGTAGTACTATATCACACCCAAGAAAATTAATAATTCCAAACATTTATTTATGTAAATATTTGTATACCACCCATATTTATTTGTCCACAGTTGTCTCAGAAACGCCTTTCAGGGGCACCTGGGTGGCTCAGTTGGTTAAGCATCTAACTCTTGATTTCAGCTCAAGTCATGATCTCATGGTCATGGGATCAGGCCCTGAGCTGGGCTCTCCTCTCAGTGGGGAGTCTGCTTGAGATTCTCTCTTCTCCCTCCCCGCCGCCCTACTCGCTCACACTCTCGCTCGCTAAGATAAATAAATCTTAAAAAAAAAAAATGTCTTTCATACCTTTTTAAATCCAGGATTCAATCATGGTTTCCCCATTACATTGATTTTTATGTCTTTTTAGTTTCTATTTACTCTAAACCAGTACCCCCCCTTTTTTTAATGACATTGACTTTTTTGAGGAAAAGCATTATTCTTTTTTAGTAGGTCATCTTAATCTAATTTTACTCTTTTTTGTTAAGATATTGATTATCTTTAACTTGGGAAAAGATACTGAAAATAGAATTCTTAACTCAGGGGTTCTAATTAGAAACAGCTGAATGGATATGCACACCAGAATGATGTTCTACTAAATTGTACAGTCTGCTGTCTTGTGGGTGTGTCCGTGCGTAAGTCAGCAATGTCTTATGTGCTTCTTTGTAGTTTTCCAGTTTCTGCCTCCAGAAATTTCATATCTATCTCTCATTGATGACCAAAGAAATGAAAAATCAGTTGCCATTTTTCTTTGTTACTTAATTAGAGCAGAGTTGTAAGAGAAAGGGACTTCTATATTTATTCCCTGAGCAATTGCCTTGAAGACGGTAGGGAATAACAGAATAAGACTTCTCTTCTCCAAAAGATTGGAATAGAGTGTGCATTAGTGATAATGAGATTGTGACCGAAAAAAATCAGTAAGATATATGATAAATTTTTAGGTAGTCTGTGACAGGTACAAATAAATTACTTGCTCCTTTAACTGACATACCAGTGGTACTTTCTGTTTATTGAGCTAACTACATCTTGGCAACACATAATTCTATCCTCCTCTTAAAATATCTTGGCGTGATGTTAGTAAAATACTAGTTGGCCCTGTAATGAAAATTATTTACTGGTAATTTTACTACTAAATATATCCAGCTACCATTTTTCTTCCAGGAGAGGAGTCCTTGTATTTTATAAAAATAAAATGGGCTTTATTATCTCTATAAAATTAAATCCCTAATATTTAAAAGGAATAAGTTAGAATTGCAAGATTTTTAGATCCGTGATTGTTAATTATTTAAATATTTGTTAAACGTTGAATTAGGGACCTTTTGAGTGTTTACTTGAATTAATAAATCTGCGTATACTCAGGTTGAAATTGGTTTTTCTATGTGGATAATACTAAATTGTTTGTTTATAAATTGCGTGGTAATTACATGGTAAGTGTCTTTTTCTTTTAGTTGCTGCCAAACAAGGTGAATCTGACCCAGAAAGGAAAGAAACGAGGCAGAAAGTGGATGACGACAGAAAACATGAGATCGAAGCTGCTATCGTGCGGATAATGAAATCCAGAAAGAAGATGCAGCACAATGTATTAGTAGCAGAGGTGAGAGTGCTTCAAGACTAGATTAATGTAGGAAAAGCAAAATAATATTAACAGTTCAAATTTAGGAAATCACTATATTCAAGGTGTTTAAAATATAATTTTAAAATTAGGAAACCAGGGTCAGGTAACACTTAACCGTTCAAAGTACGGCACTTACTTGATAATTAAACACAGCAGGACATCCAAATATGTGCACACTTTAAGAACTAATATATTTGTAATAAAAAATAATAGAATAATGCCACATGAAGAACAAAAATTTTCCCTGCTACTTAATATTTTTGTGTTAAACAAGCTACCTTTATTTCTAAAAATAAGTGTTGCTGTTGAAATAGGTAAGAAATGATTAGGGCTGAATAAAGTATTGGTGGAAGATAGAGAGCTAAGTGAAGACGAATGGGAAGTCGAATGGGCAGGACTTACTGACTGGTCATGGGACACGAGGGGAGTCAAGGACCCGTAGGTTTCTGGCTTGGAGACTAAGTGGAGGGAGGAGGGGCAGCGTGCTGCTGTGTTCTGCATTAGTGGTATTCTGTACAAGCTGACTTTACATCAAATGGCAGAGGAAGAGAATTATGTGAGGGGTTGGTCATTGCAAAACTCACGACATGTTGGCAATTAGGTAACTCATTACTTTTCCCAGCCATTTTCATGGCTCTGGTAGAGTGACATTGACAGCAGTGCCTCGAGAAGGAAGTGGAGCTGAAAGCACCAAGAGAGGGCCTTGTCCTTTGGGACTGAGTGTTAAGTTGAGGTGTCCTGGATTTTGTTTTTCTGATGGAAAGATATTCAGCATGTTTATATCCTAGGAATAAAGAAGGAATACTTGAAAGAAAATGGGGTGAGAGGACTTGGCAGGTGAGAGGACTGTGTGGGGAACACGGGTGGGTGGTAGACGTGCTGACAGAGATCGTACTGACTGTGCCTCTCTCGAGAACCCAGGGCAGGGTGCAGGGGGTGTGCTAAACAAGGGTGGGTACAAGTGTGAATAAAGGTCTGTGTGCAAGGTGGTGGGAGTGTGAGGAATTGCAGACTGAAACAGGATGTGAGGTGATGGTGCTCAGGAACTTGCTGAACTCGAACACATTAAATTTGTGTTATCAGTGTATACCAGAGATTGGCAGACTTTTTTTTTAATGGCCAGTTGCAGTGTGAAAGCAGCCACCGATAACAAAGGAGCGTGGCTGTGTTCCAGTTAAGGATTTACAGAATAGGCTGCGGGGCTGTGTTTGGCCTGTGGGCAGTCTCCTCGTCTGCCCCGAAGGTGTGTAAACGACGACTTTACTCAGCAAGGGACTGTGTAGTAGATTTTGAATGATGTAGTAAATGTGGAGCCAGATGTTCGTTGAAGAGAACCAAAGGAATCTGGGAGTTGAGGGTCCTGTTGAGAGTGTAGCTAAAAGTGATCTTGCATGCAGTCTGGACCCCACCAAGGATGTAAGGTCAAAAGAAGTTGTTAGTAGCTTAGAAGAAGGGTCAGAGGATGAGAGATCTCACCTGGGGGGTTGAGAACAAGTTTGTTGATACTGGAGCGATAATACTAGAAGGGAGATAGATTGTAGCTGGAGGCAGAAGTACTGAAGTTCAGATTTCAAAGAATTGTCAATCCATTGTGGCCTTGGGAAGTGAACTCCAACAGGAGTAAAAGGAAAACTGGCTTGTGGATGGATGGGTGTTGTGCAAGAGAGGCAAGGGCAGATCAGTGGGGAGAGCATGAACTTTGGGGGCAGAAAGGTTTAGATTCTCATCTCTGACTGCTGGCTGTGTTTACTTTTAGTGCACATCAGTCTTCCTGTCTGGCTATTTTCCTCATTTGTAAAAGGAAACAACCTACTTCACAGGATTAAGAGCATAAATAAATTAATATATACAGAGGGACTGATACACAGAGCACAGTCAGACTTTGCTGCCGCTGTAGTTACATTTTATTTTTACCACTATCACAGTACCTAGCATCCTGACAGCAGCTGGAGGAAAGAATGACAGCAGTGGCACTTTTACCAGGACCAGGCAGCATCATTAATTCATTTAGCATATACAGTGACTTGATGACATTCATTTACTTTCCCAGGGGCCCAGTACTTGTAAATGGGAGAGCTGGGATTTGAATCTAGGTACTCTGGGGTCCGGAGTCTGTGCTCTTTTTGTTTTAAGATTTTATTTATTTATTTGAGAGAGAGCGCGTGAGAGGGAGGAGGGTCAGAGGGAGAAGCAGACTCTCCGCTGAGCAGGGAGACTGATTTGGGACCTGATCTTGGAACTCCAGGATCGTGACCTGAGCTGCAGGCAGTCTCTCAACCGACTGAGTCACCCAGGTGCCCCGAGAGTCTGTGCTCTTAAATACATTATGCTTCCTAAATTCTATGAATTGGGAGAGTAACCCAGAAGTTAGTAGATATAGACCATCAAAATGGTTAAACCATAATGTGCATGAATGAATATTCATGCTAATATATTCCAATTAATTCAACTACTAACCCAATTCAGCACTCATATTCTCATGTGAAGGAGGCATGTTCTAACCCATGTAGAAAATGTATATTACATTTTCAAATAAAACCTTTTTTAATTTAAAGTTAATTAGTTTGGTAATCACATTACTAGAGTTTGAGCTGAATCTTAAAATGACACGTCAGTTCTTTTCAAAGATAAGAATTTTTGTGTGTTTATATGGAAATGTTACACATTTAAAAAATTTTCTGGTAGGAATTAGTTTTTTTACTTTCTCTTTTAGGTAACTCAGCAGTTGAAGGCTCGATTCTTACCAAGTCCAGTTGTTATTAAGAAACGTATTGAAGGACTTATTGAGAGAGAATATTTGGCACGAACACCTGAGGATCGCAAAGTATACACATATGTAGCATAAAATGCGTTCAGAAATTTGATTTATTCTTGGACTATACTCTTCCGCATGGACTGAGAAGTTCTTTTAAATCGTTAAATATTAAGACGACCATCTCTTCTATTAAATTACAATACGTGTTCTAGACCGTTCAGATCAAGCCTTTACTCCCTTTGAGAGTTTTCAACATCAATTGATTGAGCTTCAGGCTTTTACAACGTTTATCCCTGTAGAGATCATCTTTACAGTTCCTCGGGAAAATGTGAATGTGCCGCGTTTTGTTTTCAATACTGTATGAAAACAGGAAAAAATAAAACAAAAATTTAGAAAATACAGCTCATTAAAATAAAATTGTTGGATTTCATTTCCCCAGGTCTTCAGTGTTGATGTAAATGTGTTTTTGTAGTGTTGCTTAGCACTTTGCGCATTGTATAAGTTGGGTAACAAAAATGGTAAAAGAAATGACAGTTCCCAGTTATCTTGCTCTGCTTAAGACACTTCTTTAGCTGGTCTTGTTTAATTTAAAGGTTTGATAAATATACAAAGACCCAAGCATACATTTGAGCATGCTTTATTCTACCACTTGCACTTACTAATCTTCTAGCCTTATGACCAGGAACCTTTATTTTGGGCTCTATACACTCCCTGATTTGGTTTTCCCCTATTGTATTTCCAGATTTCCCAAATTAAGTCCTAATGATTAGGTTTCGTTCTACGTTATCTCTAGAGAGAGAAAATATTTTAGTATGTATAAATTGTACAATAATTTTTTGCTGTTGTACTCACTGCTAATAGTGGATTGTATAGGGCAGTGTTTTTATTTCATTTATTGTAGACAAAAATAAATGATTTAGTATACACACACCCACTAATTCAAGTATGTCAGAGCACAAAGTTGGCAGCTGGTTGTATTTAATTCAGACCCTTTGAAAAGCACATACAGCCGATACTTTGTTTATAAATATCTTAGGTTGCCCCTCTCTTAAATATATATTTTGGTGAAGCTGGGGTGCACTGTTAATTTTCTGTTTGAAATGCATTCTAAAGATGCAATAAATATGATTACCTTGATATTTTTTAATGAGATCTTCAGTTCTTGCAGCTGTGTTTTGGGAAGTGATTAAGCAATATTTTTCAAACCTAATGATTCTTGGGTATTTAGCTGTTGTCCTCCAAAGACTCACCGTTTCATGTGTTCAAAGATGTACTTTGTGCTGAAGATCCATGTCAGTTATCCTGTGCTTCCAACTTGCACCAATGTGTTTTACATGATTGATCCACCAAGGATTATAGTTTGCTTTAACTTCAGGGTATTTTTATCTTCAATTTTATTTAATTTTGTTTCATAAGACAGTGTTTCAGCCATGTAATTGGGGCAAACCACTATAGGTTTATGTTGGATAGAAAAGTGAGGTGTTACTAATGAGTTGGAATAACCAACTCTTGGTTGATTATCAGTCCTGTTGATACATATATTAGAATGTATGTCTCAGAAGATGGTTTCTGTTTAAATTTATGGTCAAGTTACAACAACTGAATTCTAATATGGATTAAAAACCACATCAGTATTTTCCCCCATGCGTCTCTTGGGTTGTAATTTTCCTTTTAGACTTGGCAGATAGGCTCCTGCTGCATTTAATTTTGTCTCCATTTGTACTGTAGAATTATAAGCCTTACGCTCTTAATCTCCACATTTTCCACTTTGACGTGATGCAATTAAGATGCAGGTGAAGACTATCATGAACATTACTCTCAGGATACTCTTACCATACTTGAGCGCTAGTAGGGCAGGTGTAGAATGGAAAGCCGAAGGGTTCCACTCTCTGATTTTTACGTAATTGGGATTTCTGTAATGGGAGGGTGTTTGTCTATGGGAAGATACTGGTACTTTAGATGGCACAGTTGTGTTGCTCTCAATCCCCAATTAAATAATTATGACACCTTGGGAAATAGAACAACTCAGATTGTCGAGTTAATAAACATGAAAGGTGTAAAAATTTCATGAAATCTCAGTAAACGCAAATTTAAGTGCTACTTAAAACCACTAAAAGTAAAGTTAAATTTATGTTTTGTCTCAAGTGTGGTTGTACAAATCAAATCTAGATCCAGAGCTTGGAGACGCTTCTTAGTTTGGGGGCACAGGTTTCATACTTATGCTTCCAAGTGCTTATACATATATTGAAACACATTTCTGAACTGCAGTTGAGTTGAATGGCCAGAGGATGATACTGCATTGAAAAAACTGGGTCACCTAACACAGTTGTATGTTTTAGCTCTTTTTAAGTATTACTGCAGCTCACAAAGCTCATAATGGTACATGTTGACATCGCTTTCTTTTCAGCAAGAGGTCATTCGTGCTGTTTATCTCAGTTTTTTAATGTCTTAATTTCAAAGAATAATACATCCTAATCATTTAATCCTGTTGATGTGAATAAATTTTGATGACTTACTTGAAGAATTTTGAGGGTGGACACGTAGTTTTCTAACTGCAAACATGATGTAATCTTTGTTCACTTGTTAAGTTGTAATCCTCTGCTATCATTTTCAAATCCAGGACAGTGTTTATTTTGAATTGTTATATAGTTATATTATTTAAAGATTGAAAATTCATTGCAATTAGGGAACACAGCCTCACAAAATAAAATGTGGTTGTGAATACAAGGATTCTTTATGTCAGTGAATTTTAAAAGGGGATGGGGAAGGGATGCATGTCTCTCTAAAGGATGTATTAGAATCACTTGTGTAGCATTGTATACTTAGACATGTACCACTCCCAAAACCCCAGGATGCTGATAGACCTTCTCGGTAAGAATCCTTGTTCTAGTAAAGCATCGTTGTTCCATTCCCCCAGTGTGTATGTAAGGTATCAAGAAGGGCTTTAGAAGGAGACAGCCAGTAAGTGATCTTAAGATTATGCCTACATCCCCAGAAAACTAGTACATTGGCATCATCTCAGGCTTCTAAATACTACTTAGTTCCTCAATTTGGAAAATAATTTCAAAATGTTAAATCCAGATGATGCTATTTTTGTTAACAGTTTTAGATACTTATTTTGAATAACTGACTAGATACAGGGTTTTACTTTTGCCGATCTACTGTAACTTGTCTCGTTTTATAGCCTAATTTTATATAAGCTATCTGATGTTTACTGTTAGATTGTCTCCATTTGGGAAGGAAAACTTACATGAAAATTGAAGATCATATATTTTGCTATATGGTGCATGTAGTCAGGTATTTTGTACTCTATGGATATGAATGTTAAAACATTTCAGGTTAGCAGAATTATTATGAATTATTTCTGTTCCCCAAAGCAGGAATAATTAGAAGTGTTAAACAGTTAACAACATTTAAGTCCTTATTACCACGTGCCAGACACTGTTCTGAGTGTGTCATGTGCATTATTTAACTTAGTCGTCAACATGAGCTCTGTAAGATGGGAATCCTTATGTCGGTTGTTGCCTAAGGGTATTGCTAGAAAATGGCAGAGCCGAGAAGTTGGACCTAGGTTTGATACTCTTGATTCCTGAGCCTATGTTCCACAGTGTCGCTTGACATGACTTTCTGTTTACAAATTTCATTATTTTACTCCATACCTCATTCACAGGAAGGAGAGTTAGAGAACATAGCAGAATTATTTTTTTTTTAAAATTTTATTTATTTATTTGAGAGAGTGAGAGCACATGAGAGGGGGGAGGGTCAGAGGGAGAAGCAGACTCCTGCCAAGCAGGGAGCCTGATGTGGGACTCGATCCAGGGACTCCAGGATCATGACCTGAGCCGAAGGCAGTCGCTTAACCAACTGAGCCACCCAGGCGCCCCTAGCAGAATTATTCTTACAAACTAAAAGATAATAAAGCATTTCAGTATGGAACTTGACGTATTTCATCTTAACTGATCATCAGTTTTGGGTAGGAAGGGAAATGGGAGGTAACGCCTGCTCTTCTGAAATCTTAGTGAAAGTTTTACATACTTTAATGGGTTGCATGGATAGATGCTTAAATTGAACTTAAATTCAGATCTTGAATTCTAAAAGACATTTTCTCCATCGCGTGCCTTCCTTGTACCAAATCTGTTATCTAGCCAGAAGTGAGAGGAGACGTAAGAGTGACAGTGAACTTAATGGGACAATGCAGAGATGGATCACGAAGCTAGCTCTCAGGAGAACATGAACAGCTAGGAAGCCTTGAAAAGTCCTTGACGAATTTTAGAAATAGCAAATTTGAAATTGTGTCACTTTAAGTGTTTGACCCTCATATTAGGGCCTAAATTGAACCTCCAATGAATCATGCAAACGTGGCCTTGTAATTCTATGGGAGGAGCTCAAAATAATCTTGCATATTTTTTAGTAACAAATTGTCAAATTTGAATAGTTGGATAACAATGTACTGTTCAAAAATACATAAAACTATTAAGAATTCTTGCAGTGTGGGAAAATTAAAGTTCGAAGTCTCAAAATTTTTTCTGCAGTTGTGCTTCTTCAATGCCTCAGCACAATGTCTGGCATGTGGTGGGTGTAAGCACTCTGGAAGTCTCAGATGAATGCACTTCTTGATCACCAAGTGTCTTAGAAAGTTTTAAAGGAATTTGACTTCAGAAATTAAAGTGTGTACTGCATTATTGGAGGTATGACAATATGGTAAAAGCATTATGTTTTTTACTTTTATAAATGGAAATGATTTGGTCTTTGGTTTTCAACTAGGTAAAAAGTGGAAAATGTAGACCAACCACTCGGTTGTTCAGATGATATTTAATGCTGATTTTAAAGCCCTCTTGACTCTCACAACATCCTATGAAAAAACTCAGACTTAATGATATAAAAACTCATTCAAGAGCCCACGAATAGTTAATAGGGTGTGGGGATTTGGGCCCAAATCTGATTCCAAAACCTATGCTTTTAATGAGTGTTAATGTGTCTCTAGTAACTGACTGATTTGGTAAACTCTGGATAGAATTTTATAAATTGAATTTGAATCTGAAAGTAGATTTTTGTGTGTGCGTATTTTGGTGGAAGTTTGTGTTGATTTATTAGAAAGTATTCCTTGGAGAATTTGATATCGTGAAACTTACAGATTGTGCACAAGAGAAAATTTAATACTAGCTGTGTGTATTGGTATATATAGTATATTCAAATTACTGTGTTTACAATAAGTTTATATAACTGATGTCCGATATCAATATCTGTAGAATTAATCCTAACCTTTATTTGCTATACTGATGCTGTCCTCTGTATTAAAAAACAACCACTAGACCAGTTTTTAAATGGAATGGGTTTGTAGGCCAAAAGAGACAGAAAACTTACGCGAAGGCCATGGAATCCAGTGGGGGAAAGGACAGAATCTGCATTTTGTTCCAGTGTAGCTAAAGCAATAGGCAACCAGTGTATGTAACTATAAAAT